GACCTAAAGACTTTTGCTTTAAACTAACATTTTAAGATAAAATTTCATGGAACCTGTTGACAAAATAATTTTAATTAAAGTCAACGTTTCATTTTTATTTTAGTGTGGTTTAGCCAGAGATAGCAGGGTGAGAGTCCAGGAAGAAGAGCATGAGCCCTGTGAAAGATTAAAGTAGTCACATCTAACCAAACCTGTCATAGTTTGTACTTTTCAAACCTGAAATTTCGGCACCGGACATAATCCCAGTTTTTGTTGGAAATCTGTCCAAAGCTTTTAAATATCCAAGAAAACCAGCACAAGGATAACGTTCTGACATGAACACTAGTAAAATAAGTAGTTTAGTCTTTATTCAGATACTCGGGAATGATCTGGAAACTCGGTTATTCAAAGGACCTGCCTCTGTGCCTGTTTCAGAGTGAAGCTGCCCTCCAGTCCTCGCAGACCCTCTGTTTCTGTTTGTCTTGGTCTTCCTTCCTTCCTCTCGTTTCAACTTTTTTGCGCATGTGTGTGGGTCGTTTTGGGTCCGGCTTTTCCAGAGACCTGACGGAAACCATATACCGAAGTTTTGCTAGTGAAAGTCCAATTTCTGATTTTAGTCGCTCCCTTCTTTTGAATGTGTGTTTTGTACATCTGGTTACTTCTGAGACCAAATCATGCGGTTAGCCTCTAATACTGAATTGCTTGTGGCTGTTTGGATGACTTTATCATTGCTGGCAATTCTAGTCACCATTGAGACTGTAGATAAAAATATAGTTGAGACAAATGTCCCTTTGTTGACATTCAGAGAGCTGGGCAGGAGGAGGTGATGAATAATAAACATAAACAATCCAAATCCATCAGAAGTTATTACTGTCTGTGGGTGTTTGTAGTCGTCTCGTCACACAGTTGTATTAAAAAAAAAAAAGATATTAAAGTTAACGTACAATGTAAAGCAGAACCACTTTGAAAGTGTCACAGTTCAGAGGCAAGAACACGTCTCGTTTGCTGTGGGCCTTGCTAATACGAAAAATATTGCTACTACTACTAACACTAATAACAAAAGCTTTGTATGAGGTCACTGCAAGCTCTGAAGTCACAGCGAAGTGAGCTAAAGCTAACGGTACACATGATGAGGAGCATCAACAGAGCGGGGGTCATCTAAGCTCACAGCAGACAGTGCAGTGGGAAAGCTTATTCATGATTATGTTTGGAATCATTGCCCGAGTGCGCTCGAGCCTATTATAACCAATACAAAAACATGAATATTCAATGTGAACTGTGCCTTTCCTCTGGATGGCTCGCAGGACGTACTGGCTGATTGTGATACACGGCAGCTGACAATTAGTCCATTTCAGAGGGCCATAACCTGAAGTTTGTGTGCTGCAGCCTCAGACACAGCAGTAATTGGACATTACTCGTGTAAGGAAAGACTAAAAGCTTCTCTGCCGCTCGTCGTGCTGACATCTTTCTTCTTTCTCACATCACATTCTTCTCCATTTCTCTGTGCTGCAGCAGCACTTCTTTAATTGTAACGACCTTTCTAGCAGTGTTAAAAGCAGTTCATAGACAACTGGGCATCACTTTAAGCAACATAGAAAGAAGCTTTTACAGCCCCGTGCTCTCTCTTTCTGTCTGTTCACTGTTAGAGTGAAATGGTCACAGTTTGTGCCCACTGAGCCTTTTTACCCATTTCAGGGTGAAATATATTGTATTTGCAATTTCATGCAGTTGTGTGTCAGTAAAACAGTCATATCATCTTTACGGTCTTTTGTCTTTAGTGACAGATGCTACTGTTTATCTCTATTAATAATGTAAGGGTCCTATAACAACTTGGCAGTTGCTTTGTGTTATCACCATTAAAGCCAAGCTTTAATTTTTAATGAGGAGCAAATAACCTCTCATAGTTTCCCTGTTACTAATGACTATGGGGTTGAATTCCACTAATCCCAGTCAGGCGTAATCAGCTCCCATCATTGCCTTAGGTAGTTTGGATTAGTTTGCTGGACCAGGGATCCATCATTAGTTAATCCCATTGTCTTGGATGAGTCCATACTATGTGGAGTGGAATGAAGGAAATAACATCTTTAGAAGATTTAAGTGAACGAGCTGCTCAAAGCAAAAAAAAAAAGAAAAAAGGTCAACGTCAACATGAAGTGATGAGGAGGGCTGGCTCTGTGATTACCTGCACGCTCTGGTCACTAACTGTTACTGGGCAGGCCATGGAGCTCCTTCTCAAACAGTCTCACTCAGCTTTTTATTAGCTCTATTATAGCTTTTCAAACCTCTTTCTTCGACTCAGCTATGGCTGATTTTGGGGGGCATTGTGGGCCCCTGTGAGTGTCGTCCCGAGCCGGGTGCAGCCTCATTTGCTTGCTGTGTAGAGTTTGTTCAGACTCTTTGACCTCAGCCTGAGGTAAATGGACTGAATCATTATTAACCTTTATTAATCTCAGAGCAAATTATGTATATGAAAGGTTCTTATAAAGCATGTTTCTACTCCACCTGAGCATCTGAGGATCTTATAAAAGATATTTCATTAATACAAACATTTTTTTTTCTGTGCTTTCCATTAAACATTCACACACATCCACACTCCAGTGTGTGCATCATATTAGATATTTGGCATGCAGACCGGAGCAGCCTGAGAACGAACCCCCAAACCTCTAATTAGTAGCTGACCTGCTCTACAGTTACTCAGCAGGTAGGACGTGGTCGCTGGTTGACCTACAGTGACTCATGTGCTAAGCTGTTACATTTTTTTCAGCCGTGTTGGATGACGGTTGTTGGAGACGTTCTCACTGAATGTTATATGTGAGTGATGCCCACACGTCTACTACTTTTCAGTATATACTATGGAACTAATAGTATAACTGGTCTAATAGAAAATATGTAACAAATATAAAACATAACATTCCAGTGCAGGTTAAATTACTTTCCCAAAAGCTTCCATTGACCTGTGAGCAGTAAAAGGGCTCTAATGAATGTTTCATTTTGAGAAGCTTCACAGGAGCAGCCATCACCACACAGATTTCAAAAGCTTTATAAAGTAAGAAAATACTATACACCATAGAGTCTCTTATGTTTTAGTCTTTGTCTGGGTTCCAATAACACAAAAAAAGAGATGTGCTTTCTTAGGACGTGTCCAAACAGAAACTGTGTCAAACTATTGAAAGAAGCAGCACTTTGATTGCAGACCTGCAAGACCTGCAGCTGTGTCAGACTAATTCTGGTGCTGGTATAAAGTGATCACTGAGTCATACCACACATCTGGGGGAGTCCAATAGCTGTTTCTGCTTATTTAATAAAAAACATCTCAGATATTTATATGATGGTCGTCTAATCTCCTGTCACCAATCTGACGGGTTCCCTGAATGCCATCTCATTCACAGCTAGTGACACAGCCTCACACAGCATATCACTCACAGTGATGAGTTCTCTAGTTTATGCTGTTTTCAGTTTCACAGTCGAAGAGCAGTCCCTGAAAACCTGTCACCATGTCTTTGCAGGTGCTATACACAAAACAGACCAATGATGAAGACGATAGACAAATCGGTGAAATCAATTAAATTTAAAGGAATCAAACAAATGAGTGAGCATCTGACTGAGACACACACAACTTTCCAGTTAGCTGCTGTGTCAGTGTGACTGGGCCCAGTCAGCAGCCTGCTGATGAACACTGATGGAAGTAGAATCAGGCCAAACTGGGACAGAGACGAAGGAGGAAGTAGAGGAAGTGCAGTAGAGCGCTTTAATTACTACATTCCGCACTTCAACCCTTTGCATTTGCTCTTTGTTCTCATCAAACACAAAAATCTTCGTCACCAAACATAATGAAGCCATTTTGAAACACTCTGGCGTGTGTGTGCAACAAGCGAGGCTGCTGACGAACCTCCTCGACTCTACATTTCCACTGATCTAAGCTGGTTATCATTGATCTTTCCTGCTCCGATTAGATTGGTATCGATGTGCCAGTAGCACAGATGGCCACACCTACAGCCAGGGTCATGCTTCAGAACTAAAATTGAATCGAAATACTAATACATTTTTTATGATCGAACAGCATGGAGGTTTGGAGCCGAGCAGCGAGTTGCAGAGAATATCCAGTTAGCATTAGGAATGAGAGCTTACTGCCAGCAGTTAGGAGTCTGCACTACAACACTCACGAACACTCACGAACACTCACAGACAAGCGTTTGGATGTTCACCACCCAAACACTGCAACACAGCCTCACCCGACTGAGGGTTTGATCCCAGGCAAAAAGAAGACATTACAGTATATTTTAAGTGTCTCTGAATAAATAACAACTGCTCTTCCATGTTTTCAGTGCTCTTCTTCACCCAAACTCTCAAGTTCCTCCCTTTAAACAACCCCCCTGTCTGCTGATAAACAACATAGTGAGGGGGAATATGTACAAGCTAATCTTTTTGAGGAAAAGGCCAATATAACTAGCTGTAAATAATATTTTGTTGAAGCTATTGCTAAATAAAAGATACCCAAGTCTTTACTGGGATATTTTCACCCCAACAAGCTTGGCAGGGCTGAAGCACCCACTTCTTTTTTATGTTGCTGAAGGGATGGGGGCGGGGTGGAGTCGAGAAGTGAAAACAAGAAAGAAAAAAGGTGGATGGATAGATAGGTACCTAGATAAAGAGAAAGAGGCAAAGAGTGTGCAGTGGTGTGGCGGATGCAGGCAGAATTAAAGAGGCTTTTTTGTGGCGTTTAATATCCATTCATTGGCCGGACTGCTGACACAGTGAGAGCACTGCGTTCACGATTTATAGCCACTTCTAATGGGCATGCCCAGAACCAAAGGACTGCAGTCAGCACATTCTCCCCCTGTGCACACAGACACACTTGCAAAGACAGCCAGCTGCACACACACACACACACACACACACACACACACACACACACACACACACACTGTGGTAGCTGTGCAGTAGATTGTATCAGTTAACTCGCTAATCCTGGAACATACAGATCATTTGACTCAGTGTAACAGACACACAGGCACACTGACCTGGCCAAGTGGGGGTCTCCATGTACGTCCAAATGGTCAGAGAGAAGAGGCGTTCGCTGCCCTGTTAGATAAGCAGAAAAACAGAGAACAGGCTTAGCCATAGCAACACATTCTAACACATCTTGTAGCAAACATACGCGTGGCACAAACACGGCTCACAAGGCTGATGTCTAATGTCAGACAGCACGGGTCAATACGTCAGCACAGCAGCACTTTGAAAGGAGAGGAAATCTTTTCTCCTGGTGTGTGTGTGTGTGTGTGTGTGTGTGTGTGTGTGTGTGTGTGTGTATTCAACATTACACAAACAAAAATACGCAAACACACATCAGATGGTAATTTAGTATACCTGAGTATACTGGACAAGTATTCACACAGTATGAGACAGGGTATCTTGTGTCCTGTGTTTTTATACTGACTGGGATGAATTAAGCTGGGTTAAGTATTCCCAGAGCTCACTGTATTAGTTTTCTCTAAAACTTCTCAGTTTTACAGTTTTTATTCTCCTTGTCGTGACACAACTGTTACTTTCATTGAAGAACGGGATCGTGGTGCCTGCAGTGAGACCTAGAGAGTCGAGGGAGCTTAAGCTGTCTCTTGTCGTAATGGGCAATGTTCAGTCGCTACCAAAAACAATGGAGGAGCCAGGAGTCAGAAGGAATATTGGGAATGTAGCTTGATGTGCTTCACAGAATCAGGGATGCACCAGGAAATTCCCGATGACAATGCATCTGTGGAAAGCTTCCACACTGTTCGGGCTGATAGCGCTGCGAATGGTAAGTAGAAAGGAGGGGGCAGGCTTGATGCTTTTGTTAACAACCGGTGGTGTAGCTGTAACAGTCAAAGAACAGATTTGTTGTCTGGACACTGGATTGTGCGCTCTTGGCTGTATTATTTGCCCCTGTGATCTTGGTGGTTGTCTGTGTTCCTCCCCCTGCTAACTCCACAGCTGCATGGGACCTTCTCCACTCTGCCATAGCCCGGTTACAAACCATGTCACCTTGGACACAACGGTGCCAACTTTCACACAGTACATGGTCTGTCCCACCAGGGGGAGAGAATTTTAGACCTACTGCATGCTAATGTCAAGGACACACACAGTTCCTCCTACCTCCCCCACTGGGTAGGTCAGGTCACAGCCTGATTCACCTCACCCTGCTACGTGTCTATGAAGAGGGAGCCTGTGAACATTAGGAGATGGTCAGAGGAGGCCTTGGCAGAACTACAGGGCTGGGACACACTCTGTGAGCCTCACGGTGAGGACATGAGTGGGCTTACTGAGTGTATCACTGATTACATAACCTTCTGCACCAACTCCATTGTTCCAGTTTGGACTCTCCATGGTTGCTAAAATAATAACCTATGGGTGACTAATGAGATCATAGGGCCTTCAGAGGGGGCAATAGAGTGGAGGTGAGAACGGTTCAGGTGTTATTGAAGGGCATGATCAGTGAGACGAATAATCATTTTGAGAGAAAGCTAGAGAGGAAACTCAGCATGAGAGAGGTGTGCAGTGGCATGAAGACCATCATTGGATTCACTAACAGCAGGGGAGTTGGGGGCAGACCAAACGAGTTGAATGTGTTTTTCAACAGATCCAACACTGCAGGTAATGCTCACCCCCCCTATTAACTTACCTGTAGTCAGCCTCCGATCCGCAGCTACTCCACTGCGTCTCTGTGAAAGTCCTGACACCCCTCCCTCATTTGTCACTTTCACTCACAGCCAGGTTCGAAGACAAATGAAGGCAAGTCTGCCCCCAGTTTTGTGGAGTCTTTCAGAAATTGTTCTGCCTGGGTCTACAGAGGGCCCAAGTGCTGTGGAAGACATCAGGCCTCGTCCCTGTACCAAAGATGCCACGTGCCAGTGGCCCCCAGGATTACAGGCCTGGGGCACTGACTTCCCACGTCATGAAGACCCTGGAAAGACTCATCATTAGATTCGACCTATAGTCCGGCCACATCAGAGTCCCCTTCACTTTGCTTACGAGTGCTACTGTAGAGTTGAAGACACCATCGACCATCATTTGCCTTCTCAATCATCTACACCCATCTGGACCAGCTGGCGAGCACTGCGAGGGTCATGATCTTTTACTTTTCCAGCGCATTCAGCACCATCAGGCCGACCCTCCTGGGTGATAAGCTAACAGGGATGCAGGTGGATGCTTCTCTGGTGTCCTGGATTGTTGATTACCTGACAGGAAGACCACAATATGTGCGTCTTCAACATTGTGTGTCTGACAAGGTGATCAGCAACACAGGGGCACCACAAGGGACCGTCCTCTCCCACTTTCCTCTTCACCCTCTACACCACAGACTTCACCCACTGCACAGAGACCTCCATCTTCAGAAGTTTTCTGATGACTCTGGTGTTGGATGCATCAGTAAGGGCTATGAGATGTAGTACTGGGCTGTGGTCGACTCCTTTGTCAAGCGGTTCGAGCAGAATTATCTGCAGCTCAACGTGGCAAAGACCAAGGAAGTGATTGTAGACTTTATAAGAATCAAGAAACCTGCGACCCTTGTTTTAATTCAGCGAGTCGATGTGGTTGTTGTGGAGGAGCATAAATGCCCAGTAAACTGAACTGGACTGGACTTTCTTAAGGTAGTATCAGAGACGCAGATTTTTCCAAGATAAGGAGAATGCTGGACAATATCCCCCCTTCCTGACATGCATGCTAGCCTCAGGAAAACCTTCAGTGAGAGACTGAGATTTCCCAACTGTCCCACTGAATGACACAGGAAATCATTCCCGCCTGTGGAAACTTTTATTGGAATTTCTCTCAGCAATCACAAAGCTTTATGTTTGATAACATGGGCACCTCAACTTCAACCATATATATTTAGTTTGTGTTATATACTGCATTATTTACAACTGAGTTGTTTGTATATATGAGAGCATTAGCACTTTCTATCACAGCTCGGTAATAAATGGGTAATAGTAGGGTAACAAGAAAGAAACAGGAATGTAATAATGTGGTAATAAGTTATTACCACGTTATTACCTCTGGTAGTTTCTGTGTAATAAGCAGGAAACAGCTGCAAAATGCAAAACTGTCTGTTTCTATTTAACTGTCCGGGGTCCACGGTATAATCTGCCATTTTTGACTACTTTTAATTTTACATTTCACCTTTAAAAACTATTTACCTCACCTTGTTTGGTGTCGTTCTTTTCAGCTCAACCTCACATGTCTGAATTTACATTTATTTTTTCCATTTTGACATACTATATTAACACAATTCATCTAAAATCAGAGATAAAACATACAACCAGAGTAGAAAAAGTTATATTTTTTTACTGTAAAAACCACAAACATATACAATAAATCCTTTTCGTATCTTGAAATGCAAAATAAATTGTAAATTTTAAAAACCTTTGTACAACCTTTGCTGCTATTTACCTAAAAATACAGCCAATGCATTAAAAACAACAACATTTCAAACAGTTTACAGAACAATCAGATTACAGTACATACCCGAGCATCCAGCTCCGCACACCGAGAACCACCAACGCATGTTTAGAGGCAGCAGCCAAGCAAGATAGTATCACAGAAGAGTGCATTTTGTTAGTGTTAATAGTAGGGAGACAAGAATGTAATGTCACTGAGTCTGCCAAGCAAAGACTCAGAGCCTTGGCCTGCCGCTTGATGTGGTATACCCGAGAAATAGAAGGCACATGGTTCTCCAGAGAACCAACCAAGGTGTTCTCACAGTGGCAGGGGAACAGTATCAGCACAGCACCACCAAGGCTGGAGACAGAGCAATACTGCAAGATTGTATGGGAGAAGCACGCAACCCACAACAGTATTGTCTCTAGATGCAGAAAAAACGTTTAACAGAGTTAACTGAAAATTTTTATTAACATCAGGAGGGCAGAGGAGGAAGAAGTGGATTCAGAGGCTGAAAGAGCATTAAGCCATGATGACCCGGAGAGTGTCATTCTCCTAGTACTATTGATGTTTAGCCGTCACCAAAGCTAGTTGTTTAGCTAGTGAAGTGGTAAGCGTCTGAACTAGTCTACTTACTCTGTGGTGTCTTTTGGTTGGAGCCTTTCTGTGTGGAGTTTGTATAGGTTCTCTCCAGGTACTCTGGGTGATTCTTAACGGCTGTCTGTCCGTGTTGGCCCTGCGACAGACTGCGATACATCCAGGGTGTACCCCGCCTCTCACTCTATTACAGCTGAGACTCCAGCCTCTGCGACCCTGATAACATAGAGTGCTCCATAACCACACTATGTCGGAGGCGGTGGAGTGTTTCAGTCACACCAATCTGACCGACCACTTCCAACTGCCACTTGTTTCTCTCCTGCACGGAGCACTCATTAACAGTGTTGGGCAAGTCACTTTGATAAAGCAATTAATTATAGTTACTAGTTACTTCTTCAAAAAAGTAACTGAGTTAGTGACTGAGTTACAAGATTCTAAAAGTAATTAATTACTTGTAACTATTGCGTTACTTAAAAAAAATGTTTACCACTCTGGGGTTCAGGTTATAATTGGCCATTTTTAACTACTTTTGATGTTTCCTCCACATTTCACCTTTAAAAACTATTTATTTGCCGTGTTTGGTATCATCAGCACAACCTCACGTGTCTGAATTTATAGTTTTGTGTTCATTTTTACTGTATTAACACAATTGATCTAAAATCAGACATATAACGTAAAATCCGAGTAGAAAAAGTGATATTTCTTTGCCTCATTGTTCTGACACACAACACAAAACTATCCACAACACTACACGTCAACTACACAAGACAGCACATTAAGTACACACTCCAAACACTGTTTGGCTGTTTTTTGTTTGTCTTTTTGGGGGTTTTCTTTGCTCATAAGCAGAGGTCTCGCTGCGCTGTCCTTAGACAGTAAAAGTGACGGAACTATTGAGGTAAAAACGCCGCATATATATTGTTTATCATGACTCTGGTTTTACGTGGCCGATCAACACAGTTTATAAGCTGGTATATGTCACCTTGTTGCTTTGTCTTTAAGTGGTCATGTGATTGTCTTACCACGACTCCTTTATTCTTCCTCAGTCAAACAGCAGCACTCGTGCGATTGTTTTGCCT